CACTACCATTCTATGCAGCTTGGCCTCGAAGGCACAAGGCACGATAATTTAGTACATGCTCAAATAGTAGTAGCAGGGGTGCTATACAGTGGAAAAATGAAAAGCGAAGTTCAACGGCCAAATTCTGGAAAAGTCCTCCATTCTGCACGGCACTGGACGACCATTCCTGTATGAGTTCCCCTTTAACATCGTGCCAACAGCTGCTTTGATAGACAGTGGTGCACGGATGTATTCACATATTCATGTAACAATGTCTAATATTAATCGCACTTTATAATGAAGCGGTAAGAGGACCAGAGTCGATGTGACTGCACGGCCACTCGTGGGCGGGGCAATTGCGGCGTCAGAGTCTGCATCTTGCACCTTGGTTAGGCGCTATAACGTACTTAGATGGAAAGAGCGCCACACAGTATCTTTCAAGGGCACAATATCCCCTTGTGCTAGGAATATTTCCTATACTTTCTAATTTATCGTACCACTCGCCTTCAATGGGGAACAAATTTTTTTCGGGTTTATGATTAAGAGGGATGCTAAGTGTTAACAGCAATAAGGAACAAACAAAATTGATCGTGAGGCGATTAAAGAAGATGGTCCTGAAGTACCCAAAAACCAACGTCCACGTGCAGAGAATTATACTCTGTTGTTAGCGATGTTGGAAGGAAGTTACTGGCCGTGAGCTGTCGCCACGTAACAATACAGTTAAAGGCAGTTGGCACGATAAATCCCCCAAACGAGTAGGATTAATACGCCTGGCAGGACGGAATTCCGCGACCCTGAGCAGGCGCTGCATATGCCTTTTCCAAGGAAGGTGCCCTTATAAGGGCCCTATCAAGCCACAACATACCGACCCAAACGCCCGCCCGCCCACAAATGGACGACCGTTCCTGACGCTCTAATTGATTCATTTGCTAAGCAAATTATGAAGCGAAGGGATTGGTATGAAGCGGCCGTGATGCTGCATGGATATATGGGTACACATATGCAGCCGTACCTTCGGTAGCGGTTATTGGCAAGATGCCTACGGGAAACTCGTCCAAAATCGATTTTAAGTCACTGAGAACGGAGGCTTCTTTCTTCGCAGGATTTTGACCGTTTCACTCCTCACTTCCTTGTTTCGCCATTTCCCCACAATAAAACCCGGAGACCCTTCTCTTAGTGAACGAAGCTGCCTGTATACTGCCGGGAACAAAACGAGACCAAATCTGGACCGCCGTTACTTCAGCTGGCCCACTCCTAGCAGTTGTACTGTCGCCAGATTTTTGTCCAGGCCGTACATCGGTTATAATGTACTGCTCGGCTAAATGTGTTTTGAGCTGCAATTCGTGCATGCAATGTCACTTCACTAATGAAGGAACAAAAGAAGAATCCTGAATGGGGAACTTTTTGAAATGGAGCTCTCCTCGTGGTAGCTGAATTTTGATAGACTTGAGAAGAAGGGAATGTGAAAAGACCTCGCCCAGGAGTGAGACGCCCGAGACGAAGGATGAGAAAGCAGACTGAATAAGCGAGACAACAGCACGAATAATCATGGACTAGCCTAGTCGCCCCTCCCCCCTAGTCTGTATCCAACTATCGGTATCGCACCCAAAATAGCAGAGCATCTCCTATTTAGACAATTTGACGCAAGCAACATTACCACGTTGTCCATTTACGAGTGAGTCCTAGTGCGTCACAGAAACAGTTGGAATGAAAATGACCCTGCTTGCCTCCACTCCCACCCTCAATGCGACTCGATTGTGCTGTGCTACACTGGTCTGCACATGTTCGTGTCGCGAAAAAGCGGAACATCTGTTGTCCGTGAGTCATAAACCCCACACGCCAATCATTTCTTTGTGTAGACTAGTTGACTACTTGTAGAATGTGTCTTTGAATCCATTTGCTATCATCCTTTGGAAAAAAATAGAACGTTCTTCTCATATTATAATTCTGTTCCAGTCGATTCCGTCGTCATACATGGATCCGCCTTCGCTAGCGTCATCGATTCGAAACCGTCTCACACAACATCGACGAGTGGATGCTTGTACTCAGACGGAAGACCTTGAAACCTCACCGGTGAAAAGATCCACGGATTCCCTCATTGGCGCCGGCTATTCAGCTTCCATAAATGTAAGTAAACATTTTCAGCTGTAAATTCTAAAGTGGCTGATATCGCTGCTGAGAATGCCATCCAAGTTGGTTTCTTCGCAATCAGTCGGGGCGGTGCCATGATGTATGGAATGAACCCAACTGTGGCGTTCTCTGTCACTGGTTATTCTCTCAATTGACCATTCATCGCTGGGGAAAAATGCAACCGCGCCTCATTCCATGCCTCTTGACACCGCCATGCAGTCCACGTTGATCATATGGGCGGGGCCAAACCTGCAATTGCAACTATCTTCGTTATAAATGAGCTCCTCATTCTCCTGAAACACTAGAGGATTGGGCAGCTTAAAAGGCACAGTTGTAGGCCCGGTTCCGCCCACACAATTACCGTGAACTGTGCCTTCAAAACTCAGAAGCCTCCACTGAATCCTTCTCAATCACTTGTTTCAGTCATTCCCCGTCTCGATGAGCTCCTCATTCTCGAATCTTCTCGATGATGAACCACCGTTTTCACCATCCAATGACATCAATCTCATCGACCTCGGCCACTGTGACGATTTCTTCGGTCCGGATTCAATAATGGCTGATGACACCCATTCGTCATCGTGGAGGCTATCTAGGTAGCAGCAACTTTCACTTGAGCTTCACTTACTTTCCTTGAATTATCGCGTATATGCAGAGATTTTCCATTATCCCAGTACAACAACACAGAAATGTGTTGAAAGTAGAGTATATTGATTATTGGTTTACTACTTATTATGTTCACTGAGACATCACTGACCGGGTATTTGAATATTGTCGAATGACCGTTGTTACATCGCTAATAACTTTTTATGTTCCAATAATTCACATTGACATTTTCCACTATGACAGAGAAACCGTTGAGATTCGAATATTTTGATTTATAGCCCGAGAGCCAGTTGATCATAGACGCGCAGTGAAGGCCGGCCTTATCTGTAAATTGATAGTAATTGGCCCTGCGATAAAAGAGTTCCTCACACGGTCTTGGGCTGGGCATGCAGTTCATTCTCGTGGAGTGGCGCCAGATTTTCCTTTTAGGTCGTCTCTTATTCGATGGGTCAAATCAGCTTTCTCGCGGCAGTCCTGTCTGGGAGGCAGGCATTCTGCTGTTCAGGGAAAGACGTCTACAGGCTTTTACCAAGGGTGATAAGCTTCAACAGAACTAACAAGAAGCTAGCGGGAGTGCAGATGCCTCCTTCTAGACGAATACGCGATTTTTGTTCTTTCTAAGGTACAATCGGATAGTGTTGTGACTAACAAAGGTTGTGGCCTTGAAGTAAAGGACGGACTAGTAGGCTATAGTGCGGTAGGCGCTTAGGTCAGCATTCCCCCCGGAACCTTTCACTCACTCGTAGTGGAGCGATTCGGCCTTCGGTCCATACATCTGTTTGGTTTGGGCCACGGGCTTTAGCTAAGCCCAGGACGGACAAGAGGTAAATGGCGTTATCGCTCTGGCCTTCAGCGCTCCAAGTTGGACAATCGGATCGTTTTAAGCCAGCCCAGACAGGGTACAGCGTCGTTGCATGAAAACATAGTGGGCTCTGCTTCTCCCGGGGGAGGGTCGCATTTGTTCGTTGTTGGGAGAGGGTTGTGGTCGTATGTGGCGTTGAGAGAAATTAGCTGCGTTACGGAAAGAAATTCCTTCCCGCATCTTTCATGATTCTCGGGGTATGTGTACTTATATGCGCCTCCCCCCCCGCCGCCCTGAGTTCGGAAGCGTGAAAAATCTCCAGTTGAAAAAAAACTGAGAAAATGAGGGTAGGTAGGTGCTGGGAAAGACGCAGGGGTCGTAGGCCGAGACCGCTCATATCGGAGTGGGGGAGGGGTCCGTAGGCTACACCACGGATTCTCAGCCGCATCACGATGCTGTACCACTGCAGCCCAGATTCTCACATCGAGAAGGAGACGGTCCTGAAAAAAGCCTTAGCTGTGCAGAATGTGCGATGATCAAAATGTAGTTCTCAGAATTTGGGTTCTGTCTCGAGAATGTTCTGCGAAGCCAAGCACTGGGCAGTGGTGGAGCCGATGTCTAACCCGTAATTGTATTCTCGCGCCAAGAGACGATTTTAAGTCGTCTTCGCCGTAGAATGTGGAACATGTGGCGGGTTAGGAACGACGCCAGCCCGTTTTGCAACAATTTTTTCGCTTGCACACCAGCCCCTGACATGCCCCAAAGTCTGCAGCGAAAATGACCATGCCCCGAGTGAATCATGACGAAAAGCTAATGCTGACCTTCAACGCGTCTGTCGACAATAAACTTATTCCAGTTATAACGCGATTATGCACCTTGAACCCTTTATGAGACATTTCTCCATCTAAGATTGTGTTTTCGTTCAGAACTTTTCACTGAACTTTGCCGGTGAGATTTCACTGGGTAATCGCATCAGGTCTGCGTCTGGTCATATGGGGCGGATGTCCAGGCTTCATACTGATACGCTATCGACAGTAGATCTCTTTTATTGAAGCAATCATTGGTAGGGTCTAATTACTCATTGGCTCCACATTCCTTTTCAGGTAGTGACTGGGGGGGGAGCGCGCACGTAGGCTTAATGCTAGGCCCAACTCCGCCCACACGATTGAGCGGCTTCGAGGCCTCTTCGCACAAATGACTGCCAATATTCGCGCCATAAAGCCGAGGAATTTATCAGAGCAGCGAAAACACCGACAAAAATTCTTTGCGGAAATCCATCGCAAGCAAAATCTCTGTAGAGAAACTCATTCCACTGATTGAAAAGTCTTCAAAACAGACCAAATCGCACATTATACATCGTTATTGATTTCGATTGTACAATGTGTATGTATATGTATTCAACTATGTGGTTCTCGTCGCTCTCTACCTTTTTTCTACCCCCCCCCCCCCTTAGCATGACTGCAATGAAAAAAGTCAGGCACCTTATTCAACTGATGGCACGTCTTCGCACACTTGCCTTTCTTGCTTGCTATCATCGCCTCTTTTATTTTAGGTATTCGTAGATTTCATTATAGGTTGCATAGATTATCATTTAGAACTGCCTCATTGAATGACATTGCTTGGATTCGACATATAACAATGTAATATTTATTTTTGTTGTTTGTAAACACACGCACACGGAGGAGATGGTTATTGATTGAGGAGGCATCCAAGTTTTCATGCTGAAGGATTTCCATGGAGTCAACATTTCTGCAGCGAAAGTGCTTGTTTTGAAAGTTTTAGGCAAAGGACGTGACCCTTAACCTTCATCTTACTGAATAGTAAACGAACCATTCACCACCGAAGTTTCCTTCCACCTTCTCAGCTTAATAGCTTTATAGCTGTACAGCTAACAATAAATAGGAGGCTCGAAGGCCCACCTCGCATTCATAAATGGTGAGTTGTTCAGGTCAAATTTCAATGAGAGAATGGTGAGTAACGCACTAGTGAAGAAAAGCAGCCTGAAATGCCTTAACCACGCTTGTACGTCATAAGGCGAAGAAAGGGCGTGGTCGGACGAGTTGTTTGTTGGTGCTCTCATATCACCCTTCACTCTCATCACCTCACTCTCACCATTCTGCCAGAAGCGCATCAGTAGCTGAACATATTCGCACCATCGGGATATGCACTGGGACCCATGTCGCCGTGGTCTTAGCCGCGTGGCTACGGTCCGCGCGGAGCGCCTCGCGCTTTCATCACGTATTTTTTTGGTACATCTCCTCGTTTGTTAGCCAGTCGAGGATACTACCACATACGAATAAGGCGCAATTGAATTATAAAATTAATCGCAGGGGTCTCAAGCCCTAGGCAGAGGGAGCAACTTGAACTAGGACCACCCCCCCCCCATCTCAAACTGGTTAGCAGTAAAGCTCCATATACGAATAAGGCGCTTGATTATAAAAATTAACCGCAGGGAGTCTCAAGCCTTATCCAGGAGCAGCAAGCTGAACTGCGACACCACCCCCCCCCCGCCCCATCAAGTTTGTTAGCGGATAAAGTGCTCACATGTATGCTAAAGGTCCCAAGGCAATGTGGCCTTCGAGCCTCATCGCCTGTGCTCTCACTTGGGATTTCTACTGCGAGGCCACCACTCTGATCCTCCTAGGCCTACGCGATACGCTTTAAGGAACTGTCCGCGATGACTTAGTTGGATGCAAAAAGTCATTCTGTGTGGAAGGTTAGGCACATGCGTCGCGGTTGACAACGTCTCTCGTGCCACTTTTGTCGGCGGAAAGTTGTAGGATTAGAAAGGAGTTTATGAAACGCAGCGGTTGACTCAGTGACACCTACTTTTTCAGCTGATCGCACCCATGACTCCGCCTATCGACCACCTTCCAGCAAAGCGAAGCTACCGCACCATAGATAGCATGAAAAGGGAGATGCTACATGTCTCTTTGCGGACCACGGAGATGCTATTCCAACACCTGTCTTTGGCCTTATCGGAGCTGACCTTGACTTCGTAAGGCAGATATGTAACTTTTTCAAATCATCTCGCCTAGGCCTAAGGCGACACGAGAAAGGGCGCTGCTCGATCGTTTTGCCGAGAATTGAAGTGCAACAAGCTCAGGACTTATGAATGCAAATAGCAACGAAGTTTTCCCATTTGTCCCCAATGCACTAAAACTCGGAGCGGCTTTCCGTTTAAAAGGCTTACGTGCAGTTACCGTTTACAGAACTCCTGAAGGGCACTTCATGATTAGAGAACATCTCAAATGCGCTTTATTTCACAGCATTATGCGACGTTGAATGCTGAGTGGCTGCAATCTCCTTTTGAACGTGGTCGGCGGGTGCATTTTTGGCCGCGACTGCGCTTTTGACTTCAGTTTTTCATTCTGGGGCAAATGCAGTAGTGCACAAGACAAGTTGGCAGCTGTCTCAAACAGGAGTGCCCCGCGGAAAACGCATCCTGTTCTGCGGTGGGAGTGGCTTTGGAGGCCGTGTTTAGAACGAGGTGTGCAGCCCCGCCTACCTCCTTCTCAGGGATGAAGAGTGTGCATAGGTTGACTCCCAAAACCAGTGCAGGAAGTATTCCTTTATGCCCCTAGCGTAGGATTATTTCAAACTAGCCATTAGGATATGAAGCTTTAATCTAACAAACGGGTTTTATGCTTCATTTTCATGATTGTTCAAGGTGCAAACGTAGGTCAAGCTGAAACATTTATTCTGGTCATCAAATTTTTTAACACATTTGCAGCACAAATGCAAAAATAAATGGTGCGGTCAACTGAAGGATTATTAATGATACGTCGCTCTGCGAGCTTTGAAGTGTGCCAGGGTTTAACGCGAAGTCACATGAAATGGACCTCCATCAGTCAATGTTTCCCCCTTGCTGTTGGTAACAGTTGTACGGCCGTCAACCGTCTTGTAGGTGTACGTTTCATCATTGATGGTAATTGTGAACACTTCAGTAGATTTTCCATCAATGATTTCAGCAGTGCTAGAGACATCGATAGAATTGCCTTCTGAGAACGTTGCCGTGTAGGTCTTTCCACCGATCTTCGCTGTGACTATCGTGACTTCTCCATCGTTAATCACGCTCTGAAAGTTGGCTGAGCTAATTCAAATAAGAAATGTGATTCGGAAGTAGTGGGGAGTACAGTTGTTTCGCAACAGGCGCTGAGGCGTGTCGGGGGCTGCATTTAGCGTGGCGTCACTCCAGCAATTCTCGAAGCGGATTAGAGAGAGATAACAGCCGGGGTGACGGACTGATGGCCAAGCCTAGCTCCCCCTGCCACGCTCCTGCGCCAGTAGAGAAGTCGATCCCAGAGATAAGTTACCGCACATATGTTCCTCTACAGTCAGTACCTCGGCGAGCAGTATCTCTTCCAGCAAGAGTCTGCTGCCTTATCTATAGGGTTGAGTCACTTGTGTTTCCAGGAACTGCCGCCCTGACAATGGAGAACACCAGCCACCTAGACTTTTGGGTAGGTCGCTACGGTCGTTTTAGTGTTCGTCCGTGTTTAGATCAACTCCTTACATCTGGATGCGCCAGTTCCGGAAGAGCAGTGATATTTAGATGCGTAGGTTGTAATTTCGGGCTTGGAAGCATGTCAGGTGCAGAGAACCAAGGTGAAAGCAAGAATCTGAGGATCTGAATACCATTCACAACGTCCCAAAAGGGGTGAACAAAAGGAGACAGGTCAGACCTTATGCCGCACCAGGTCTAGGACCTTGCGACGTCGCGCAAGAGCGGTACTAGCAAATACTTGTACTCAGCGTAATAAGCATGGGATGTGCGAAAATGTCGAGTGTGAGCACGACCCTCCTTCGAATGATGTCGCGGCACGACGCCCCCCTCCCTTCACCTTCACGGCTTTTTTCGGCCGAACGACGACGATTTGCGTACATAGTCGACGAAAAGATGTCGAGCGGGTGGGTATAATAACTATGGCAACGCTTACTACTCCCACGGGCGACAAATGCAATATAGTGCATATAAAGAATAATTAATACGACCGCCCCCCTTTTCCACAAGAAAAAAACCAACTATCAAATAAATTTTTCTTACAAATACGACCCCTCTCCCCAGAGCAAAAGTACGACCCCCCCCATGGGTATTGACACAAGATGCTGTATGCCTGACTTGCGCTTGTATGAGCGCAAGTGTGGGAATGAACTCAAATGTGGTTTGTTCGATGATTCAGCCAATGCCTCGCTTGGTATTATGATGTTGTTGGGTCCGCTTTTTATTGGCAGAAGCTTACTAGCAGAGTCCAGGTTTTCGCCAAACACCAAGAAGGAGTTGAAACAGAAGAAACAAAATGGCGCAAGTCCGCGCCGACGGGGGGCATTTTTAGCAATTTAAAATTGCTTCAATTAGTTCTGGTTTAGCAAGTTCTACCCTGGTGAGACTTGTGAACACTTGTGTCTGGGAGCAAGCTCCGTCAAGGCCATAATGGTACAAAAAAAAAAAAACAGCGTCAACTCGAGAAGAGGCTGTCGAGGTGGGCCGACACGTCGATGGAAAGTCTTCAAAGTACAAAAGGTCAACCCGGGCCCCAAAGAGCGCGGAACAAAACAGTTGGACACAGTTTGAAAGAAAACATCAAGGGTATGCCTTACAGTTTGAGACAGCGTTTGTTGGAAATCAAATACTTTTAGTGTAAATGTTTTTCAAGTGTGGGATTGTTTTGTCCCACGTGTAAGTGCTCTCGTATTTTTCTTTAAGCATATGATGGTTTTTTTATGATGGGAGCAACATTTCGCTCTGATCATTTGAAATTTTCAAGTGTGTTGTTCGTCTGTTTCAACTTCTTCGTTCGTCTCAAGAAATACTTGAACTCACTAATAAAGTACTACATAAGAAGCGAGCACAATAACATCATAATATCAAGCGAGCACAACATGGTGAATCATCGAACAAACGACATTGTGAGTCATCGCACACTTGCGCTCCTTTACAAGCATACGGTATTTTACTGCCGCGCACGCGACGTCGCATGGTCCTACCGACACATACTCGCGGTGCCACGACGCTGCTGCCTGTGAGCTGATAACAAATGAACTCGATTAGCATGGTTCACGCTTCATAAGCCGTAGCGCGTTTACTGGGCTATAAGTAACACAAGAACTCCTGCTCGAATAGTTCGCCTGAGCTTCGGTCGATGCTGAGTACTACAAATTCCATCTAGTCAAATACGTAAAATAACAATAAATGCGAACCTGTGCATGAATGTTAACTATAAGTAGCAACGGCAGTAGAAGTGTTCCCCGAGTGAACCATTCTCAGCTTGTTGTTGAACCTTAATGTACAATAAAGCGCGAAGATGGTAAGTGGCGATAGGCAATCGTTAACTATGACGAACGCAAGTAATTATTCAAGTTAGTCATTAATAACTGCAAGTTAATATTCAAAAATTAGTCGTTCCATTGACCTTTGCACTCACTACCTTGACGCAAGCCGAAAGACTCGCTGAAAATTTTTCAGAAGTTCTGATTCATTCCAGCTTCGAATTATTGCCTTCATAGTTCATTGTGCCCACAGATGCAAAAAAATACATCCAAAGCAAGAAAAAGGCCCTAAGCATACAAAACTTGTAGATTTGGTTCTGGCACTCGTTGGTCAACATCTCGCCTATGAAATCTCAACCCTCAGGCAGCGTCTTCGAAGGGGAACGAAGTACGACTGATTGTGAGAT